GAACCAGGAGCCCGCAGGAAAATGCATAAGGACATTCTCATGATCTAACACAGGATTCATTCATTCAACAAATTCACTCATTCAATACATATTTAGTGAGCCTCTACTTTGTACCAGGCCCTTTTCTATATGCTAACGATTGTAGGCAGGTAAGATCCCTACATAACTGAAAGAGTAAATAAATGCAACACAGTATGGCATAAAATGTAGTATTTTGTGGGTTTGGTAGACCCAGAGCTCTGCATCTTTGGAATCTGAGTTCTTCCACATGTCTAGAATATAATTAGCTCTCTGATGAAGAATTTCTAACACAGCAAAGCTAGCTCCAGAGTCCAGGTCCCAGTGGAGACAGGACATTTGCAGAGAGGGGGCAGTACAGGAGGAAAGAACTGGTGGAGAGCCAAGGAGATGAGGCCCTGCCCCTGGGCTGCCCCTACTTAGTCTTTGGATGATCCCTAAGGCCTAGCTTTAGGATCTGGGCTCCCAAACAGAGCCACAGAGAAGCAAGGCTGTCCCCAGGCACAGCACACCACAGCCATGCTCACCCAGGCAGCAGTAATAGCCAGGCCAGCACCAGGGAATGACACGTGATATTGCAGGGATAACTTGGCCAAATTCCTGGGTTGACCATCTCTCCCCAAGGCATCCAAGGAACGTGCCAGGCTTGCACTTCTGCTTAAGGAGTGCCAACCAAACACCCAGCACAGACAATGCAAGACCAAGAAGCCCACAAAGACAAGAATCGCCTGTGAACTTCGTGATGTGAGGATGGGATGCTGAATGACTCCGCAAAGGCAGGACAGGAGTGGTCATTTACAGGAAGGAGAGGAAGGGCCCTTCTCTCCCAGGAAGTCCCCTTGGGATCCAGTCCAGACTTGTGGCTCCAGCTGGGCCTCAAGAAGCACCAGGCAGGATTTAAGACTGTTAATAATAACTGGCACATGACTGCGTGCAGAACCGAAACACAGATGGCCAAGTAGCCAAGAGTGTCCTTAAAAGAGAAGGGAAGAGTTTGGGTGAAGGGGGGATGCATATCAGAAAGGGACATGCATGCATTTACAATGTGAGCTCGGTAACTCTGCTGCGCCCCCACCCACCCCTTGGTAATGCCAGCCCTGAAGCCTGCCTGCCTCAGATGTATCACTTGCTGCGAGGTACAAAAACCATCCAGACTTTTCCTGTATTAGGCAATTTCTCAAACCCTGACCCCTCCTGTGGAAAAGCAATGCAGGGCTTTAACAGGTGCTTCCAATTTCTCCTTTTACAACTGCTTAACCTGACACATTTTCACAGCTGCCTCCCTCTCCCAGGTGGCTTAGTGTTCCAAATGTCTGATTAAAGAGCAACGTGTGGATTTGGTTTTCTCTCCCCTCCTTCCTTCCTAAGTTCCTCCAAAGGCTTCCTCATAGAGGCAAGTTAAAGGCACTAAGCCACAATGTCCCCAAGTGAGAGTGAAGCCAAACTTCACTCACTGTCTCTTTTAAATTACAATTATTCCTATATGAACCCAACCACACGGTCTCCAAGAATCCTCAGCCGAAGGGGTCCTGTCCCCACAGCCGGCATTAGGAAAATGGAATGAACAGTTTCCACTCAGTCGAGCACCACTGCTCAAAAGGGTTCTAAGATTTTCTGAACTGTGAATGAATAAGGATGATTTTTTATAGGATAGATGAATGAATATAGATGGTTCCTATAGGATAAAGTAGATCCCGTCTTTCCTGAATTTAATTCAAATCTAAGATTTAGAAATGAGTTGAAATTTGAATCTGACACAATTCCATTTCCCGTGACATCAGGAAAATAAAAAATATTCTACAAAAAGCACAGATAGAAATCAAGACAGCAGGGCAACTTTCGGCAAAACTAGAAAGATAAAACTGGGCTGCAGCACTTGGTCACCAGCTCCGGTGCAGCCACCTTTCCCTGGGGGAGCCCCTGTGTGGTCTACAACCCAAGCCAACACACCACCAGGTCAAAATTCATCTAATCCTGTGCCCAGGGAAGATACAGCATATTTCAAAATGCCTGTGAATTAGGAACACTGGAACTGTAATCAAAAATGCTTAGGGACCTATTAAATAAATAAAATCTAAATAAACCAAAGAAGTGAACCTCAAATAGAATTTGGGGCAGCAGAGAAGATCTTGAGAGACAGTGACTTTTCTAACTACTCCCAGATTTGATCCTCCTGTGATGAAATTCTAATTTGTGCATTGTTTTCCAACTTAACTCCTTGCACTGGGATTTAGCATTTTTTCTGTCCACTGTAAATTAACCTACTGAGCAGGAACATGTAAGCAGTGTCATTTGTGTTCCAAGTACTTGTGGGCAAAACTCTCTGAAACCCACAACTTTCTGTGGTGGATCCAACAAGTGGAGGGTGATGGAACCAGTTTTTTGTGTTTTGTTTTGTTTTTTTAAGACAGAGCCTCAAGCTGTCCCCCTGGGTAGAGTGCTATGGCATCACAGCTCACAGCAACCTCCAACTCCTGGGCTCAAGCGAGTCTCCTGCCTCAGCCT